TATGATCTTCCCCACTGTTGTCCTGGGTCTGTGTGAGGACCTTGCCTCTGAAAGGCAACAAGGCACAGAGGGAGGAAGAAAACCTAAGAATCGAAAGGCCAGCATCCAGGGAGGGGCCTTCAGCCAGCTGGGAGAGGAGAGCAGGGCCTGGAGCTGGGACGTGCTCTGATTCTATACGTGTGTACAGCCGCCCAGCAGTCCTTTCTCACCCCTCGCCTTCTTTTGAGTGCTGAAGCTCCTTTGAAAAGTTCCTGTCTTGCCAAAATCGGTTTGGCTCAGTGGTGGAGCCTCGGTCTGCAGACTGGGTGGTGCCAGGTTCGATTCTGGTCGAGGGCATGTGTGTTGGTTGCGGGCACATCCCCAGTGTGTGGGGTAGGGGGTGCAGAGGGCAGCTGGTCGATGTTTCTCTCTCATCGACGTTTCTGGCTCTCTATCTCTCTCCCTTCCTCTCTGTAAAAAATCAATAAAATATAAAAAAGAAAAGCAGAAAAATTCCTGTCTTCCGTGACTCCCTTAGCAGAACAGGGTAAGGGATCCTGCTTCTACTACCAGGTCTGGTTTGAGAATGGACATCTTTAAAGGTTCAGCTCAGAGAGGGGCCGAGGAATCAAAATGAAACTTCAAAGGGAGTGAAACTCATGGGGGAATTGTTGAAAGGCCCTTTCCTCCCCTAGAAATTACAGAGCAAGGCAGTTAAAAAACTGGAATCCAGCCAGGCCGGTGTGGCTCAGTGGTTGAGCATTAATCTATGAAGTAGGAGGTCATGGTTCAATTCCATAGTGGGCTCCATCCCCAGGAGAGGGCATGCAGGAGGCAGCAGATCAATAATTCTCTCCCATCATTGTTGGTGTTATTTCTTTCTCCCTCTCTGAAATCAATAAAAAAAACATATTTTAAAAATAAATAAATAAAAATTAGAAAAATTGCAGCCCAGAATACCTGGTTCAAATCCTGATTCTTTTGCTTACTGTGGTGTATATCCTTGGGCAAGTTACTGTTAAGACAGCTCTTCACCTCAGCTCCCTGTCTGTTAAAACAATCATCTTCTTTGCCAAAACTGGTTTGGCTCAGTGGGTAGAGCGTCAGCCTGTGGACTAAAAGGTCTCAGGTTCGATTCCGGTCAAGGGCATGTGCCTTGGTTGCAGGCACATCCCCAGTGGGAAGTGTGTAGGAGGCAGTTGATCGATGTTTCTCTCTCATCGATGTTTCTAACTCTCCCTCGCTCTCTGTAAAAAATCAATAAAATATATATTTTTAAAAAACACACACACACACAACAGCCACCAAGGCCGGTTTGGCTCAGTGGTGGAGCGTCGGTCTGCGGACTGAAGGGTCCTAGGTTCGATTCCGGTCAAGGGCATGTACATTGATTGTGGGCACATCCCCAGTAGGGGGTGTGCAAAAGGCAGCTGGTCGATGTTTCTCTCTCATCGACATTTCTGGCTCTCTATCTCCCTTCCTCTCTGTAAAAAATCAATAAAAATATATTAAAAAAAAAAAAAAAAAAAACAGCCATCTTCACCTTACTGGGAGGACTAAGCTAATTCTTATAAAGTGCAGTCAACAATGCCCGGCACAGGATAAGCAATCAGCGACTTTACCCGCCTTTGGTAAAGGTCCTGCCGTAGCTTTGCTTTGCCCTACTCATGGCGAGAGGGGATAATGACTATCACCCCATTTTCACTCTCAGCTGCTACTTATGGAGGGCCTGGTCTAGCCTAGGGTAAAAGGCCCCAGTCATTCTTTAACATGGGAAATGGGTCAGCATTGATGTTGGGGACAAGAGAGAGGTTGGCCTAGCTAGCACCTGGCAAAGGCAAGCTTTTTCTGAGAGGGGCATAGCATGGAAGCCCCCAGACCTTTAAGGGAATACTTTTGTTCACATGGGTTACATTTCTACCCCAGATTGGATTAAAACTTACCCTTTGCTTCAGTCAGGGATATTTCAGCCTTGTCCCTGTTATCATAGTTCCTTATCTCTACTCCATTCGAGAACTTATCACACACCAGGGACTTTGGGCAAACTCCCTAGCTAGATTTCCTGACATTGGGACCTAAGTTTGAGTCATCCTTCTATCTCAAACAAACCTCAAGACAAAAAAAGATTTTCATGCAGGCCACTCACTCACTGCACCCTGCCCCTCTGAGGACAAATAACCAGGAGCTTCCTATCAGAAAAGGTGAATGGCTGGGAGAAAAGAGCACTTGAAAAGGAATCAACCCTGGCCTGTGGCTCCATTGGTAGAGCGGCATCCCAATACACCACGGTTGTGTGTTCGATCCCAGGTCAGGGCACGTAGAAGAATCACCCAATGGATTCTATATATATTTGTTCTTCCACATATTTATGCATATATCTCAAAAGCAATAAATAAATATAAAGAATCAAAAGGTAAGTTCGCACCTCTGGCTCTTTATTCCTCCGTGAGTGATTCCGTTTCCTCATCCACTCTTTTAAAATGGGACAGGAACCCCAGCCCTATTTACCTGCCTGGGTAGGTACCAGAAGCCAAAAATGGTGAATAACAGACAGGACAGTGTTTTGTAAGTGTCTTGGCCAAGCCCCTCATTCCCACCTGTAGGAAGGCATCACCTTATTAAATGCCATTTGGCCTCTATTCCGCCTCAGAGAATGGGTGTCACAGTGGGATTCCTTTCCAGACTTGGAGTTTCTTCATTTAGCAAAAAGAGCTGACAGAAAAGCTGTGAGGCCCGGGCCAGAGGCCTCCTCTCCTCTCCTCTCCTCTCCTCTCCCCTCCCCTCCCCCCCTCCCCACCCCTCCCCTCCCCTCCCCTCCCCTCCCCTCCCCTCCCCTTCTTTCCTCTCCTCTCCTCTCTTCCCCTCTCCTCTCCTCTGGAGAGTTTCCCTCCCCTGGGCACAGGAAGGTTGGATGGCAGCGCCTGCGCTGGGCTGTGCTCTGTGGCACACTCCCCTCTCAACCCTTCCTGAGGAATGCAGCCTCAGACTGCTCACAGCCTGTGCCTGCCGAGGGCTCCCGCTGAGGGAGTCCGTTGCCCTTCTCTCTTCCCCCATTTGCAATCACTATTTATTTATCTTTGGAAGTTGAAGGAACCAGAGCCTGCAACTGGGAGAGACGTGTGGAGCCAGAGAGGGAAAGTGAAGAAGGCAGTGTCTGGGCCCTGTGTCTGCCGCCAAGGCCCATGGGTAAGGAGGAGAAGTCGCTCCCCTGCAAAGGAGGGTGGGAGACCCCTGAAAGACCGCCATCCTGAGAAAGGTGCCACACACACACCAGCAGGGCCAAGGACACAGAAGGAAGGTGGGGATCACCTTAGCGACCACTTGGGTGGCACGGTGAAGGATGGAGAGCAGGAGTCCTGCCCAGGGACACCCCCCCCCCCCAAAATCTGGGCTGCCTGCTCCTCAGCAGCCAGGCTCTGTTAAGGGGCAGCCTTTGTGGGGAAACTGAGGCAGCGGATGCACTGGGCCACACTTCTCTTTCCCTCTGTCCCCAGCCCCGTTCCCAGTTCATCCAAGACCCACAAGGCAGTTTTCATCACCACCCCCAGCTGTCAAGGGCAGACCTTCCCCAAGGCCCTCAGACCTTTCTGTCTCTGGAAAGGAAGTGCCCCTTTCACCCACTCATTCTCATGCCACAACTTACATTCATAAACCAGGGGGCACACAGGGCCCGATTTGACAACAGAGATTAGATAGCCTAGGACCATGGTCGGCAAACTGCAGCTCTTTAGCCCCTGGAATGTGGCTCTTCCACAAAATACCACGGCCTGGGCGAGTCTATGTTAAAGAAGTGGCATTAGAAGAAGTTTAAGTTTTAAAAATTTGGCTCTCAAAAGAAATTTCAATTGTTGTACTGTTGATATTTTGCCCTGTTGACTAATGAATGAGTTTGCCGACCACTGGGCTAGAGCGTTAGGGGTTATGTGCAGTCACAGAGCTGCTTTTCCTCTTCTTGGGTTCCCTCATTCCCACTGTCCTCCCCTCATCCCCTCCCCCCCACACACACACACAAGCACTTGGTGGTAAGAGGCAAGATCTAGCCCTTCTGCCTTGGCCTTTGCCCCCTCTTTGGCCAAGTGACATGCACGCCCCGCTGGGCAAGGTCACAGCAGCAGCGGAGGGTCTGGGCCTCCTCAGGCTCTGGCTGTGTCCTGCAGGGGGCTGGGGCCGGGCTGTGAGAGTGAGAGCCTGTTTCCAGGCTGACCCATGTGGTCAGGGGCCAAGGGAAGCCAAGTCTCATAACCCCGGAGAGATGAACCAAGTTCAACCCAAAACAGGGAGCACCAGACACCTCTGGTCCAGTCCAGCCCAGCCGGCAGGTCACTGAAAGCCCCAGAAGCGTGGGGTGCATGCAGGCTGGATGGGCAGGAGGGAGGCAGGACTTGGGGGAAAGTGATGATGGGGGGCTTGGAGATGTGAGATGGGGTGTGGAGAGGGGCGGGAGAGAGGAGTCTAGGTTGTGGGCGGGTGCAGGGGACACGCGGGGCCTGAAGCCGGCTTGCCCACTCTCGCGCCCAGGAGGGCACCGGCCTGTCTGCGCGTCGGGAGGCGCTAGGGCCTCGCGGACGAGCTGGCGCGGGGAGGGCGCCCCCTCGGGAAGGCGGGCGGGGTCTGGCGGCGGCGGGAGCAGCGCCGCGCAGAGTTGCCTCCATCCATGGCACGAAGCGGCGGCGGCGGCGGCAGGATCCCGGCGCGATCCGTTAGGTCCCAGCCCGGCGCGGAGCGAGCAGGCGGCGCGGAGGGGCCCGGGAGCCCCGCGCCGAGACCCCGGCCGCCGCGCCGCGCAGGGCCGCCCGCGCCGCGCTGACAGCCGCGCCCGCGTCCTCCCCGCCGGGGCGCGCGCCGGACATGCCCCCGGGGCGCGGCGGCGGGGACCCCCGGGCTTGCCTCCGCCCAGGGCCCCCTGCCCCGCCCTTGGGCGCCCCGGGCCCCCGCTGAACACGCCTCCCGCCCGCCCGGGTCCCTCTGACCCGCGCGCAGCCCGGCCCCCGTGCTGTGGGTCCCCGCGGGGCTATGGGCTGATGGGCGCCGGGGGATGCAGGATGCGGAGGGCGCCCGCGCGCCTGCTGCTGCTGCCGCCGCTGCTGCTGCCGTGGCTGCTGCTCCTGGCGCCCGGGACCCGGGGGGCGCCCGGCTGCCCCGTCCCCATCCGCAGCTGCAAGTGCTCCGGGGAGCGGCCCAAGGGGCTGAGCGGCGGCGGCGCCCCCAACCCGGCGCGCAGGAGGGTGGTGTGCGGCGGCGGGGACCTCCCGGAGCCCCCCGAGCCCGGCCTCCTGCCTAACGGCACCGTGACCCTGTGAGTACCCGGCCCGCCCGAGCCGACGGGAGGACGGATGGGGGGCACTGGACGGGAAGGACGGGCAGAGGGGCACTGGGGCGCCACCGCCGCTGCAGACCTCTGGGACCTCTGGCGGGGCGCAGGCGCCTCCGAGAAGGCAGGCTTGGAGACCTGGAGGAGAGGTCAGGGCTCCGGAGGGGTTAAGAGGAGGGGGGCTTCGAGGGGCGCGACCCAGAGAGAGGGACCGGGGCGCCCGCTCACCTGCTCAGGTGAAGGGGAGCGCGCTGGAGGGACGCCCACGGCCCTCCAGATTCCAGCCTGGGCTTGTGCTGCGAACTTCGGGGGCCTGAGGTGGTGGGAAGGTGGGGGGAGGGGAGGAATGGGACGGAGAAATCTCTGGAAAGGTCGATGGTAGGTGGCTGTGGCCGTTACCACCGCGGACGCGTCCCCGGTCGGACCGGAGGCGTCTCCCGGGCTGACCCGGCGGCCCAGGCTCCTCCAGTGGGGGGCGCTCCATGCGCTCCCCGAGTCTGGCAGCCCGGCTTCCAGCCGGTCGCTCTACTGAGGGCCGGCGGGAGGCTAGCTCGGAAAAGTCTGTCCTTGGGGTGCAGGCGCCTGTGGTCTGAACGAGACCCCCGGCGCCCCGATTCCTCTGGGGTCCCTTTCCCGCCGCGCGCATCTGGGAAGTGAGTTCTGTGCTGGGTCCTGCATCCCTCTCTCTCCTCCACCCCTCCCCTGAATAGGATGCCACCTTAGTCTCTTTCTCGATTGACTTTTTAGAGCAAAGATTTCCAAGAAAGAAACCTGGCCGAGGGGGTGGCGGCTGCTTCCCAGTCTCCTTCCGTCACCCCGGTTCCCTCCTTCCCAGGCAGAGACTTATTTGAGCCCTCACGTCGCTGGCACCCCGACCCCAACCCTACTGGCCCGACCCCAACCCTACTGGCCCGGTGGGGGGGGGTGTCTGGCGACCCCTTCCCACCCCAGCGATTTCCTGCGCGGACCACGTGCCCGGAGCTCCACGCACGCCCTGTGGGGTGGAGGGTCGGGCCCTCCCGGCGGAGGCCCTTTCCTTTCCCTTTCCCTTTCCTGTCCTGGGTCCAGCCCGAGAGCCGCTTCCCCTTCCCTGTCCTCCTGACCCCGGTGGCAACCGCTTCCCCTACACCCCTTGCCCGAGTCAGTCGGGGCTGGCTCACAATCTACCCGATTGTGTCCAGAACAATACAGTAACGCCTCTGGTTGGGTGAGTTCAGAGGCTGCCCGCTTCCTGACAGAACAGGGACTGGTCAGCCTCTGACGCTGGCTGCGTGGCCTGCATTTTCTCCAGCTGGGTGTGTGTGTGTGTGTGTGTGTGTGTGTGTGTGAGTGTGTGGGTGTGTGTGTGTGCCCGCGCATTGGGGAGGGGGTCTGTTCTCTCCCACCTCCCAGCAGCTCAGAGATGGGGCCGTGGCCTGACAAGGCAGCTGCGGCTGCTCATTCCCAGGTCCTGCCGCGTGTCCACTGGTGTTGAAGGGTCCAGACAGGCCTGACATTCCCCAGCCCACTCAGTGCTGGAGGAGAAAAATGCCCGCTGTGTGGAGTAGCTGGGCCGGTGGCATGTCCCCTCCAGGCCGTGACAATTCAGTTCCCAGAGAGGGTACCTGTGTATACGCCAGGTCTTGTGGCTGTGCTCACACACCTGGGGAGAATGCTGTCTGTTGGGATTAGGGAATCCTAAGGCACTGAAGGCAGAAAGAAGGGGGGAAACATGGAAAAAGGTGGCATGGCCGTACACATCTTAGAATGATTTGGCGGCTAATCCTTTCCAGCCGTGGCTAATTCCCACCGACGCCACTCCAAGGTGAGAGCAGGGCCAGCTCTGAGTGAGAATATATTATGACAGGGCGGCAGCAGACATAACTGCCAGCTCATCTTCCCAAACCACCCCCACAGGACGGGTCCCCTCTCATCCTAGGCCACTGACCTCGCTGGTCTAAGATACCTCCCAAAGGAATCGCCCCCTGAGCCTGGCTGGACGTCCCCACAGGGAGAACAGACAGGGCAGGCCAGAGAAGACCCTTGCCCATCCGCCTGCATGGGGACCAAACCACAGGAGTGGACGTATTTCCTAGGTTCTTCCTCCCACCCCCCACATAATCCTGATCCTGATTGCTTCCCACTCCCCACCCCACCATGCTGGCTCCTGAAGGAAAAAGAAGCCATGGTCTTCAGTAGAAGCGGGGCGGGATTCTTGTCCCTGGGCTCAGTCCCTCCAGCACACCCATCCCCACCCCAGCATGCATCTTGAGGGAAGAAGGCAGAGAGGCCTGAAAAGGGGCTGCCGCCTCAGCCTGGCAGCCACGCAAAAGGCTAAGAACATGAAAACCTCCTCCACACACCCTCCCAAACGCCTCCTCCCTGCTCCTTTCCATTTTCCACACAGGTTTCCCCTTTCACCTTTTTGCCTCTCACCTGGTGCAAACAACAGGATTTGCGCCCATCGTTTTTTGGGGGGTGGGTTTATCCTCCCCCCTCCTCCCCTGCTTTCGGAGTGGCCACCAGATCCTAGGCCCTGCACACACACCCTGCTGCAAGGGGAAGTGGGACTCCACCTTGGGAAGCCCAGCAGGCACTGGGTGCTGGGACTATTCAGACCAAGAAAGTGCTAGAGAAGGTGTCTGTCTTTCTGTCTGCAAAGACCCTCCCTCAGAGAAGGCCTGCCAGCCGCTCAAAGGCTATTTACTTCACTGAAAACCCTTCCACCTCCACCCTGTTATCTCAGCTTCTGCCTTCTGTTTTCTCAGACTACGTGCCCCCTCCCCACCCTTCGCTTCCCCTCCCCCCTCTAATGGATTTCCATTCGCAGTTTTCCAGGAAAGCACAACTCTTTGCTTCCTTCCTGATCCATCCGTCCCACCCCATCCCACCCCCAGTCTCGAGGCCCAGCCCGAAGGACAGCGGTGGGCATGATGGTCTCAAAGGGGTGGCTTATTCAGGGAGGATGTGGGTGTGGGGGGGAGATGCAGAGACTCCTGTGAGCCTCCACCCACCCCTGGGCCGAAGCTGATGGGCCTGTTCTCTGGTTCTCAGCTCTGGCTGATAGAGTGAGGGGGAGGGGGCATGCCAAGGAATTCCAGAGAAGGACTGATAGCAGATAACTGCCCAAGGAAACCTTCTAGGAGGACATCCCAGGACATGGGAGCAGCACCACAGAGGATACCAGCCCGTGTCATAAATTCCTAGACCGTTTGCACTTAAAAGGACTTAGGCGATCTGCAAGTCCAGGCCTCGCTAACAGTCACCCGCTGGCTCTCAGCAGCCTCAGGATTGGTCAGGTCCTCCTAGCGGTCTTCTCGGTCAGGGACTCCCTGTTCACCTGGCTAGACTTGAGACCCAACAGACACAAAAGCTGCTTTAAAAAAAAAACAAAAAACAAAACAAAAACCCTGTTCCTTCCCAGCAGGACCCAGGCCCTTTTGACCTGGGAGCATTCCAGGGGTGGGTGGGGAGGGAGCCAGACATGGGACAGGTCACTCAAATTCTCTCAGAGCCAACAAACCCTCATCCATTCAGCCTCCCAGGTTAAGGGAGTGGGGGAGTTGAGGGGTGCCCACCACATCGGGGAGGGGGCATTTGTCACACAGATGTGCCTAGTCATGGCTGGGTCCCTTTGCTCTGAGTTTGGTGGTCTTCAGAAGCACCATGGGGGGAGGGGCGGCCCCTTCACAGCCTTGCTCCAGCCCCAGGGAAGTGGTTCTTGAGCGCCAGTCTCTCCCTGGACCTCCAGCTCTGGTCTGAGGCCTCCCCTCAGTGCCCCGTACCCCAGCCACCAGGATCCAGTTAGGAGAGTTTGGGGAGAAGTGTGCCAACTGCCATGCAACATAGCCGGAGGGGAGTGGACTGATGCTGGCTTGGAGGGGCGGGCCCAGGCCAGCTTACCCACCCCCTTCTCCTCCAGCCTCTTTCCCCCATATGGTTCTCATAAGGTCTGGGCTCAGAGACAGCAGCCAGAGGAAGTGGCTGTGTACAGAGAGCTTTTGTGAGGGGAGGAGGGGGAGGGGGAGAGAGTGAAGAGAAAGAAGGAAAGAAAAGAGGGAGAAGCAGAAGTGGGAGGAGGCCAGGACACTCCAACACAATCCCTTACCCTGCAGTGGTGCAAGATCTCTGCTGCAACACCCCGTGTGGGATTTGGGGCCCAGCCCATCTGAAATGAGGGGCCCCAGGAAGTCTAAGTCCCTCACTGGCTCTTCCCACCCTCCTGCTAGAGGAGTGGAAGTCTTGGAATCCCCTGCCCTTAGGGGTCCCCCACCCGTGCAGGATGTCAGGGTCCATGGTCCCATCTCAGAACGAGCACTGGGCAGAGAACAGGGCTCTCTGGGGTTCACTGGTTGAGTCCTCGTGGCACCAAAGAGACTGGGAAGCCATGAGCTGAGCTCCAAAGACAACACATATAATTCTGCCCCCCGTGGGTCCAGGACCCAGAATGGATTGTTTGGCCTGAATTATTCAGAACAGGGACACGAACCCAGCCATTCCTGACCCCCTAGGAACTCCTTTCTGCTGGCTCCCATGGGTGTTGAGGTGGGGGCAGCAATCCCTCGCCTTAGGGGTGAGTCTGAGAATTTCCCCAAAGACAAAGGCAAACCAATGTAATTTGAACCTAACCAGAAATTGACCCTTAAATTTGGGGTCATGTTTTTAATGGGAGAGAGTGTTTCTAAGTCTATGCCACATGGGAGTCATTGGGATAAGAACCCTTTCCTGGAGGAGAAAACGTTCCAGCCACCTCTGAGTCTGTCCCTGGCCTTCCATCCAATGAGCTTTCTTCACCAAAGCCCCAATGCCACACAGCCTCGACCTGGACCCTTCACTCCCTCAACATCCTGAAGTGGAGATAGCCCTGTGCCTCCTTGGGATCTGACCGAGAGCAGGGGAGGAGAGAGGAGGGAAATGGCCCTGGGCTGAGGAGCCAGAAGGAAAATCCGGTATCTGCAAGGAAGGGGCTGCTCGGAGGGGCTGTTTATTTTCATTCCCCCAGCCCA